AACAATTTTATTTAATATAATTATTAATATGGTCTGATTATTTTTGCTAGATGTTTTATATTATTTATTAAATATTTATTGTTAAAATTCTTTTTTTGACTTCTTTGGAGTCAGTTGTTGTAGCTATACAATTTTATATATGTAACATATATAATAATATATAAATAGGTAAAATCTACCTTTAAATTATAGTGCAAGGACAATAGATGGGTTTGTGTTTCATTTCTCTCTCCTATTCTTTGGGCAGTTGTTACATATTTTCCTTTTCCATATTCTATAAATACACAATGCACTGATCTATTTTTCCTTCAGAATCTGTTACTTTATAAAACAGTGACTCTCAAGTGGGGGCACTTTTTCTTGAAGTGATATTTGACAATTTCTGGAGATACTTTTTATTGTCACAATGAGGAAATATGCTACCAGCGTCAATTAAGTAGAAGTCAAGGATACTGCTAAATATCCTACAGTACATAGAACAGCTTACTACAAAAAAGAAAAGAAATGTCTGGCTCAAAATATCATTGCTGAGATCAAGAACTTGTTTTAGAGCAATGTTAACAGAAAAAATAATTCTGTTTTCATTTATACTATTTACAGTAAGTACTCTTCATTTCTTTGCACAGAACCAAATATCTTGGGATATCAAATTTCTACCATGTAGAGAACTTCCTTTTACATTTCCTACAGTGCAAAAATCCATGGACCCTAATTTTCATACATCTCAAAAATAAGTACTACCACCTGAGTCTCAAGGGCACAGACAGGGAGAAGAGGTCAAACAGCTGTGGGTGCATTTCCTTATTCCTTATCCACTCTTTTTAGTGCACAGTCCAGGCCCTCTTCAGCTCTGCCTTCTCTCAGATGCAAGCTTGTCCACGTCAAATGATTTTTCTCCAGTGGAATAGTTTTAAGGAAATATGCTCCAGCAAGAATAGTTTATACCCAACTTCTACTACTGAAAACACAATTTTAAAAGATATTTCATTTGATTGAAGTATTTTTCAAGATTCTGAAACTTTGTGCATACGTGTTATTTTTCTTAATATTGTCACCTATTACAGCATGAGAATTCTATTTATCCTTTGTATTTTTAAAGTTTTAGTTAAATCACAATTTAAATTTTCTAGATAAAATATTTCAATATATATTGACATTTGACTTAAAATGTGTAATTTTAAATAAACAATTGTTTCTACAGCATTAAGATTCCTTTTCATTTTTCTTACTAAGTAATGCTACATAAAATTTTCTATACAAAAATTTCACAATGCGTACATTAGGTTTGGAGAGTACCTGGGAAAAGAATCAATGACCACTAGACATGAAGAGCATCATCTGCCTCCAGGCAGTTGGTTCTATGATCTGATTCTGATGAATTAAGGACTTCCATTCAATTCAAAAAATGTACTCATTATATGCTATAATCTTGATACAAAGTCTTTATCAAACAATTTATGTAATTTATCTGGAGTGTAGCCCTGAGGTGATCAGATCTAGACATCTGGATAATTTTACATTATTAGAAAATTATTGGGTATATTTCTTCTCATGCTGTTTTTTTGTACAGTTCATTTAAGCAACTAGCCCATTCACTGATGACAAAGACTTGGTGGAAATGATATTAAAGTCAAAATAGAATGGTTATCTTCACAAGGTCCATCTGCTTCACTGATTTCATTATTGTGTGACTCCATATCTGTTTCATAATTTCATCATTGTACAAAGCCACATGATTGGATATAAATATGCAAGACTTTTAACCAAAATAATGTACTTAGAAGTCATAGAAAGATTACTTACAATTCTCCAATTTTCTGTCTTATTTGCAAAACAGAAAGATTTCTTTGTGTGAGAACAAATTATAGCACTTGATTCATATTCAGCACCTCAAGTGAATCTTTGAAAGCCCTCTTCACTCACCATGACAGAAGCTAGAAAAATATCTATAGGGTCAAATGTCTATCCTATTTTGTTAGGACACTTGATTCTGAACCCATATAGGAAACCCCTTCTTCTCCATGAGAACTCATGTCTTGCTTTTGTCACATTCCAATTCCAGAATTACTAGCTACCAATTCTGTGGCCCTGGACAAATTATTTAACCTCTGAATCCAATGTCCACCCTGTAAAGTGCAGATGATTGTGAAAGTATAACAAGTATATTTTTAAAACCTAGGGATTTTTGCATTCTGAGTGCAGTCGTTGTACATCCCTCCCAATTATCTCATAATACACTGTCCTCCAACCAAGGATCACAAGGACCACATTCATAATGACAAACTGGTTCTATCATTCATTGAAATAAAGGAGACAACTCACCAGTGGAAACTGTGAGACACCTCAGTAAGAGGGTGTTTAAAATCATAAAGGTAGAACCTGTTGGAGATAGATATTAAGAGAGCTATTGCCAGGCCCTATTTTGTACGACTGTGGAAGTTAACTAGCCAAGTCCAAGGTCCATTGGACTCTCTCTTTTCAGAGATGCCTCAGCTCTCTCTTATGGCTTTTTAACTGATTGGATCCCATTCAACAGTTTAACTGGGATAATTTGTCTTACTTAATGTCAATTTATTATGAAACTAATCCCAGCTACAAAATATCTTCACAGCAATATCTAAATTGGTGTTTGATTAACTTGGGTCTGTAGCCTAGACACACAAAACTGAGTGTTAAACTGTCATAGGGTTTTGGGCTTGTGTTAGGCAAATTTGAGGAAATTTTAAGACAGAGGAACTTTGCACTTAATTAGATTCTGTCAGGAAGTGAGTGGCAGAGTAATTCTATGATTGGGTTGATTGGGTGTCTTAATAAATGTTATCTTCAATGAAGTTAAAGCTATAATTGCTAAAGAAGAAGCAGCCACTCATGGGAGAAGGGTATGATTGGTCATTTTGCAGTGTTTTGGGCAGTATTCACATTTTGTCTGTGTTCAGACATGATTACTGAGTGGCCCTGTTTTCTCGTGGTCAAGGGTGGCTTCCTAAGACTGATATTCTGTAAAATTGTTAATGCTCCACAAGAGAACACCAAAACCTAGCAGTAAGTACTAGGTTAGCCCATAGCACCAATGCCTACTTAACTGGATCCAGACAGCTCCCAGATGTCAGGACATAACTCTCTCACCCTCTTGGTCTCTGTCATTGAGAAGACCAAGGGCTGAGAAATTCATCACACTGTCTAACAGGGGCATAGTGATTGGTTATAATCACCATCACCTTGTGGCCTCTACAACATGCTGAAAATATATTTTTCTGGAAGAAAATCTCCCACTAATGATTACTTTGGGACTTAGCTCTATCCCTAGGTCTTTAAAAATACCTGAAATGTTAATGTGTTAGGATAACAAATATGAAATTCCAATAATTTAAAGGAAGGAAGCCAATTTTCTAATTCACAATAATTTTCCTCATATGACCCTCAATATTTTTTACATCCTTAAATTTTAGAAAACAAAATTCTTAGAGTAATTGACCTATCCAGAGCTTTCTTCTATATTTCTATTTAAAATCAATTTTATTAGTTCATTTAATGTATACAATATAATGACATTCATTGTTGGAAATTTGTACCTTTATATAATCAATCTTGGTTCTTATTTTTCCCCCTTCCCCTGTTTTCCCCTTTACCCCTACCTCCATACCTATATGCAAAGACTTTGTTTCCATTTTTTTCATTTTCTCATACTAATTCCATTTCCTCCTTTCCTTTCCCCTACCCCTCCTATTTCCCTTTCCTCTTTGTCCCTTTTCTTCCTATTTCACATTATCTATTATATCTTTTAGTCCTCATTTACACTTTCAGTTTCTCACACAGACCTGAGGACAAGCAGATTAGAAGATACAAAAATAAGTCCAGACACACTCAGCCACTTCATCTTTTACAAAGGAGGCAAACACCCTCACTGAAGGAAAGATGGCCTCTTTAATAAATAGTTCTGGAAAAACTGGGTTTCAACTTGCCAAAGATTAAAACTAGACCTATATCTCTCACCATGCACTAAACTAAAATCAAAATGGATTAACTACCTGAATATTAAAACAGAAACACTAAACCGGCTGAAGAGAGATTAGGTAGAACTCTTGAAGACGTTGGTGTAGGAAAAATTTTTATGAACAAAACCTCAGTGGCCCATGAGCTAGCACAAACAATCAACAAGTGAGATCTCTTCTTATTAAAAAGCTTCTGCACAGCAAGAGATACCACTAACAGTGTGAAGAGAAAACCCACAATGTGGGGAAAAATTTTTCACCAGCTGTTCCTCAGACAAAGATCTACTATCTAGAATATGTAAAGATCTTCTATATTTCAATGTGATCAGCGTACAAATATTACTCAAGAGAAAGAAAAAGTCTGGTTAAGAGATAAAACCATTATTACTGGCAGTACGTAGTGCTATTTGAACCCCTTTCATTGCTCTGACTGAAAACACCTGAAGCTTTTGAAAGCATGAAAAAAAAAGCCTTACTTGGCTGGATTCTAATGATTTCTGTGAGAAAAAGCAGTCATAGCCTGTTAACGTCAGCAAGGATCCTCTAGGTAGGTGGGTCAACTCAAAATTTGGAGAATTCCATTACTGTGGAAGCAAAAAGAAAGATAAATGTGTGGAAACAGAGAAAGTTGGGTGATAGCAGGGGTTAGTGAGGATTTCTGGGAAGGGGAATCGATTTCGTGACGTGTTCCTGGAGGTCGTAACCCAGAAAATCCCACAGGACACCATATTATTTACGACTTTAACTATCCGCGATGCTGATCTGCTATTCCCACCCCTCTTGCCACCAACAGACACATATATAGGAGAGAAGAGTCTGACTAGAATCCTCCCAGCATTCAGAGCTCCCCTCGGGTCCCCTCTGAGAGGAGGCTGCCTCAGTTTCGGGGGATTCCCCTTTGTCCTTTCAGGCCTCCCAATACAAACTCTGCGCCTGGCAACTGAGGTGTCATCATCGGGAATTTTTCTGATTGGTCAAAACCTGAAGCGTGAGGGTTTGGTTTGGGTGTCTTTAGATTTCCTAGTCTCAGTTCTCACAACTGCTCTGCAACTCAGAACAGCGACTGCCGAGACCACCTTGAGAAGAGGATGATTCTAAACAAAGCTCTAATTGTCGGGGTCTTCGCCCTGACCACCATGATGAGCTCCTGTGGAGGTGAAGACATAGAGGGTGAGTGCACAGCTAAGGGAAATTCATTCCCTGGAGCTGGAAAATAGCAAATTGAAAGGTGGGGAGAGAGGTTAAAGACAGGCTGAACAGATTTTTCAAGGTTCTTCTCGGTATTACTAGATCGGAAATTCATGCCGTTTTTCCTTCAGGGCACCAGAGCTCAAACCACTCTCTTAGCTAACTGCGCCGCTGCAGTTCACCAAACACTTGGTTCTCGTTGGATCCAGGGAATGTAACCTAGGGGTCTCTGCCATCCGGTCACGGTTCTCTCATGAGTTAGGGGTGTTTCCGTGAGTGGAATACTTCTCATTAGTAAAAATATATGAACTATTACTCTCAAAGTTCTCTGAACAATATTCGGAGCTTTTTCTATACATCTCCTGTGCTACGTGTTTGGAAAACAGTTCTGGGAATTGTGCATACTGTACAGACACACAGAAGGGTGTCTTTTCTTTTCGTCAGATTCACACACATTTCTATGCTGGGGACAGGCATGGGTAGGAAGAAGGTTAAAATGCCTTTACATCCTCATTGAACATTGTGATCTTTATTTCATATGAGACACCTCACAAATAATCAGAAAAATTGGGATTTAGGTATGTTTTATAAGTAGTGAAAACATAAATGTTAATTCCCCCCATTTGTTTATATTACAAGTAGAGCTAATATTTTTTAAAAGTAAATATACGTTTGCATTTATTTAAAGTTAATAGCTTTATGAGGAGCAATTTGGTGAATTATTTTATTCTCAAGTTATCAACCCAAGTTACCTGCTTGCTAGTCTACCTAATAAAGTTCTATAGAAGGAAAATGAGCAGCACTGGTTTGTTGTCCGCCCCTCTCCACCTCCCCTTCACACATTCTTTTAGCCCTCTTTCAGGGTGCATCCCTGACTCCCTGCTGTTTTACAGACATGAATTGTAGATTTGTAAAACCTACAGATGAAAAGTGAAGTATTTAAAAACAGGAGGTAAAGGGGATTAACCAACTTTATTAACCATGGCATTTCCATTTTGATATTGTTCACTGGTAGAAGTTTCACCTGCTTCTCCAGTTCTAATTTTCTTCCTTCAGCATCACACCTGAGTGTCCTGGTGAGGCTTTAGTTACCCATTAGTTAATCGGCACTGTGCAGGGGCCCAGAATATTGTAGGGCTCTGAAAATGTTTTAATTTCTTTTGAAATTAAAAGAAAAACTAGGTTTTATGGCCCAAGAAAATTTAAATTCAGACTGTATGATATTTGTCTTTATACATAAAATATGCTTTTCAGTGTTTTTACAGAGGAAGGGATGAGGCTCACAAGTTACGGTGCAGCCCTGGTCACCACTGAGACTGACTTTCCTGTTGTCCTGCTGTGTTCCTAACCATTTCCCCAAAGTCTCTGTTGTTGTCAAAAATAACAACTGTCATTCAGTACACCATTTTGAATACACAGTAAGCTAAAGTTTGGGGTGTCAAAGATGAAAACAAATGGTATAGCCCCCAGAGAATTCACAGACTAGGGATGGAAGCAGAATGGGATGCAGGAAGTAGATGGATCATTGCTGAATAGGACCATGGACACAGCTGAGGCTGAAACGGTAAAAGTGACTCAGATCCATGGGCACAGCAGTGTGACATCCACCAGCGATGCTTGCAACTCAGGATAAAAAACAGCAGAAATGATTTGTGTATTCACACTTGAGAAAGAAGTCAAGACAATTTATTGCAAGGATAAGGAGACTTTGTTGGGAGACCTGTTACTCCAGATGGACCAAGATGTTCACAGTGGGAAAGGGAGAGAGTAGGACAGAACAGGAACAGACAGACTTGGAAAGCAGGACATTGGGATAGAGGGGTTGGAGGTCATAATTTGGTTGGAAACATGTTGATAAGATTTAACTAAAATGTTGGTAGCCAAACAGAAACCTTCAGAATGAAGTACAGGTCTACAAAAACACACACCTTGCTCCCCCCGCCAAAAAAACCCTTTATTCCAAGGAGAAAAAAAAGACAAAAGATCACTACAAAGAGCGGTAACAAGTGCGGATGACGTGTTTGGTTTGACTGGCACACACGTGTGTAGTCAACATCCTCGGCACATAATTCATCTCAGTATGCTGTCATTGCTCCTTTACTCACGTCACTCCTACTGTTCAGCAAGCTCCTTGACAGCACGTGCCAAGGCTGATTGATGCTTTACTCCATATCTCCACTCTGTCTGATGCTTGTTGATGCCAGGTAAATAAAGAAGGAAAATGGAATGCTAAAGCATTCATGGAGGTCTTCATAAAACTCTCCTGTTACATTTGGGTGAAGTCATAGTGCACTGGCTGCCACTCTGTGTGCCATCTTCAGATCTGCACGCTGTCCATTTGAGTAAAGGGACTTTAATTTACACTGACTCTCAAAGTGAATATAAGTGTTGGCTTAGAACAACTTCCTTCAAGAGAAAAGAAAAATGAGTGGCGGATGACAGAAATCCAAAAGCTAATTAAACTTTATTCAAGAAGAAATCAGTTGCTGTTCTTTAAGAATTACTACTGTAACAAAATAACCACCTTATAAGCATTATTTTTATATATTTTGTAATGTCACTGTTCTTGTTATACTCTTTTTATACCCTCCAAAAGTTAGAAGAAGCTTCTAAAATAATGAGTCTAATTATCTAGAATATATAAAGAACTCAAAACAATCAGCCCCCCCAAATATAAAGACCCAATTCAAAAATGGGCATCTGAAATGAACAGACATTTCTCAGACAAAGAAGTAAAAGCAGCAAGTAAATATATGAAAAGATGCTCCACATCACTGGTCATT